TATATATATATATATATATATAGAGAGAGAGAGAGAGAGAGAGCCAGGGAGGGAGGGAGAGAATATAAATGTATTGTATGTCAAATATTGATGGTATTTTGATTAATCAATTTAATTCAATAATAAAGCTGTCAAATATATATTTGTTTAATTCAAAGTACATTTACATCTAATTTTATGAATAGATTTCAATGAAAACAAATTTTGAAAATACATCATTTTAAATGACAATTAATATATATCTGTAAAATTTTTATTCAAAAAACATATAAAAAGTTGAAAAATACTTAACAAATTGCAATCAATTATAATATTGAATTTGTATTTTAAAAAAGTACAAAAATGTAATCAAAAGAAAGTTTAAAAAGTTTTATAACTTTGTCACTAAATGTTGTGCTAATTGTTATTAAAAATAGAGTTATTTTTAGAATCATTTAAAATGATTTTACGGATTATTAGTACTTTTTCTAGCATTAAGTCTTGAGCTTAATTTGATTTTCATGCGATCCTCCGATTGAGACACCCATTTATACGTGGAGTTGGCTCTGGAAGTGATGGTCGAATCGATTGATGGTATCATCGGTGATGATGTGGTGACCGTCGATACGGTCGACGAACATAATCTGGTGGCCGGCGGCGGTCTCATCGGTTGCAAAGGGGGTAAGCGTTTCATTATATCATTGCAATTGTCATTCTTTGTGACAGTACTGTTGGCAAAAGTGCTGATGATTGGCATCTGATTCGGGACACTATTTTTGACCAAAAATAGCATCGAACCCATCGATGGACTATTGTTCATCGGTATGGATGATATGCCAGTTGTAATCGGCGATGAACTCAGTATAAGAGAACCAGTGGTGACGGATGGCATCACTGGTGTCATGATTGCCGTCGAATAATTTGAATGTATTACTGATGGATTCGCTAAATGATTGGTTTGATTGGTTTGATTGGTTTGATTGGTTTGAGTGGTCGATACATGGGATCTATTAGTAAAAACTTCTGGTGATTTGGAAATCTTTATGGATTGGTTTGAATGAATTGATGGCTCCTCTGAATGCCTTTTTCTCTTTGTTTTATTGCTCTTAGGTTTGGATCCACTGACAGATACCAACAAATCTTGATTCACTTTAGAAATGGCTGTTTAATCAACACATCAATCAATTATTAATATACATAAAGTTTTACAATATTTATGACTTGTAAAGAAAGTGTCGTTATTTTAAAATAAACGATATATTGCAATAGAAATGAGCGTAAAATGAGTTATTTTGAATGAAATACCAAAACTGGTCCAAAACTTACATTCAAATATTCTTTCGGTCGACTGTTTGACACTTTTATTATTGCAGTCAAGAATTGTATACAATAAGTAAAATGTGGAAGAATTTGAATCAATTCCTCGACTTTTCATTGAGTCAATCAATTTCTTCACTTTATCGGTCATCTCTTCATCCGATTCCGAATCAGAATCTATTTAATGGGTTTTGAATAATGTTTCAAATAGTAATACATTTACAATATTTTATTATACATTATAATAATAATACTATTAATAAATAAATACTGACTTTCATCATAAGAATCGTCTAACGGTTCAGATTTGATATCAATTTCATCGTCGGAATCGGTGTCTATTGTAGTGATGTCTTCGTCGGCACTTCTTTTGGCACTATTTTGCTGTG